CTCAAGATGGGGGGGCGCGGTGGACCCTTCTAGTCTACCTAGAACCCCAACTGTCCCACTCTTACTGGGGGGGGGACCCGCCCACTTTGACCCTGGCCATGGTAGGTGAGGTGATGGCCTGTTTCATTGTTTGGGGGAGGGGAGGGCATGGGCCGCACCATTCTGACCCTAGGGCAGGGGGAGGTGGAAGCCTGCCCCTCGCTGTGCAGGGAGGTGGGCGTGGGCCATACCATTCTGAGCCTGTCTCGGGCAGGAGGAGGTGGTGACCTGTTCCACTGTGCTTGTGGAGGGAGGCTGGGCCATACCGTTCTGACCCTGGAGGGGGGTACGTGATGGCATGTTCCATCTTGTCGGGGGGGGGCATGGTCCATACTACTCGGGGGGGGGGGGAAACATGGACGCTGTGTTCCCACAGAGATGAGGAGGAGCCGGATGGTGCTGCGGGGCTGAACCCCGAGCACAGCGATCCCCTTGCCAGCCCGGTGCCCGCCCCTGATTCCCCCACCTACTGCCAGGGGCTACTGGCCCGCAAGCTGCATGCTGAGGCTGACGGCCGGAAGAGTGAGTCCCCCCGCCACACTCCTGCTGTGGCCCGGCCCATGCTGTGGGACCCTGCCCACACTGCATTGCTACAGCCCTATACCATGTGACCACGCCCGGATACCACTAGGCCACGCCTACAGGCCTTGGCCACATCTGTATGTTATGGACCCACATGCACATTTGCCTTGGCCACATGCAGATACCGCCAGGCCATGCCCAAATGCTGTAGTTGCGCCCACAGGCCATGAAGCCACGTCCAGTTATTAGGTTACACCGTTTGGCCTTGGTCACACTCACAGGTCTTGGCCACACCCATGGGCCATGAAGCCATGCCCATAGGCCTTGGCTACGCCCAGCTACCACTAGGCCACGCTCCACAGGCCTTGGCAACTCTCATATGCTACACAGCCCTATCTGCAGGCCTTGGCCACAGTAGGCTCATAGGTCTTGGCTATGTGGAGAGCCCACAAAGCCACACACCCTGTGGCACCTGAGACTGGCCACGCCCCAGGCATGCAGACTCCCCGCCTTGTCCTGGGGACTCCTCCCCAGCTCACAGGCAGCTTCACCAGGGTAGGCCTCTCTGCAGTGTGGGCCTGAGCCATGGCCTTCCCTTTGCAGCACCGTGGGGCAGGCGAGGCTGGAAAACCTTCTATACCGTCCTCAAGGGCAACCAGCTCTACTTCCTCAAGGTGAGGGGGTGGGGCTTGAGGGGCAGAGTCTGGGGGTGGAGCCTAGGGCAGGAGCCTGGGATATAGGCAGAACTTTAGGGTGCAAGACTGTGGGAATTAGTGGGGAGGTCTTGAGCCTGGAGGCGGGGCCTGATGTGGGAGGAACACAACTGTGGGCATGGAGGCAGGGCCTTACATCTGGGGGTGGTGGGTCCTGCAGTGGGGGCAGGACTACAGGTCTGGGGGCAGGGCCTGAAGTGGGGGGGCAGGGCTGTAAGTATGTGGGTGGGCATGTGGGCGGCGCCTTGGGGCTGGGGGTTGGGCTGAGGGCAGGGCTCGGGGGACAGGGGCGGGGCCTTGGGCTGTAGGGGCAGAGCCTGAGCCCATGCCCGCTGCCCGCAGGCGGAGAACGAGGCGGAGGGGCAGGGGGCTGAGGAGCCACTGGGGGTGCATCACGCCCTAGCTGAGCACGAGAGCCAGTACAGCAAGCGCCCACATGTCTTCCGCCTACAGACGGCCGACTGGCGCGTCGTCCTCTTCCAGGCCCCGTAAGTACCCCCAGTGCCCCTCACTCCTGACATGGAGCCCCCCTGCCCAACTGCCTGGTGCTCCTCACTCCTGACCCACAGCCCCCTGACCCACCCTCCACTCACCCCACCAGGAGCGCTGAAGAGATGAGCTCGTGGGTCGCCCGCATCAACCTAGTGGCAGCAGCGCTCTCGGCTCCCCCCTTCCGTGGGCTCCCAGCGCAAGTTCGTGCGGCCCGTGCTGCCCACGGCCCCCAGCCGTGGCTCCCTGGTGAGACCCACCCCTCCAGGACCTGGGAATTGCCTACTGGCAGTGGGCAGGGCCTACATGGCAGTGGGAAGGGCCTGAGGCTGGGTGGGCGGGGCCTGGGCAGGGGTGGGCAAGGCTTTGGCTGGCATGGGTGGGGCCTGGTTTGGGCGAGAGCATGGCTTGGGCTGCAGTGGGTGGAGCCTCAGCTGTAGCCTACCTTTCTTGGGGCAGGTGTGGGAATGGCTTTGGCTGTAGTGGGCGGGGCTTAGAACAGATGTGGATGTGGCTTGGTCTACAGTGGGCAGGGCCTGGTGCACACATGGATAGGCCTGGAGACCTGTGCCACCAACATACAACCCCTCTCCTTTCCTGCTCCCCCCAGGAGGAGCAGCTGCGGGCCCACGAGGCGTGGCTGGCCCAGGCTGTGGCTGAGCTTGGTGAGCTGCAACGAAGCCTGCCGGAGCCGCGGAGCCGGAGCCGGGGCCTGGATGACTACCGGCTGCGCAAGGACTACCTGCTGTATGAGGTGACCCCCTGACTCCCAGGGCAGGCACTAGGTGGTGCTTTGCCCAAGCTTGGGTGGGGGAAAGGGGTGGATCTATCCCATAAGCAAAGCCCCAGGGAGGGGGCACCTGGCAATTGCCCCGGGGCAATCTGGGGGGCAGTTTTCAGCCCAGGGTCAGATTAGATGTGGGGGGGACCTGGAATATTTGCAGGGGGGTGTGAGGGGTCATGGGTCACACATAAGGACAGGAGGGGAGTGCCTAGGAAATTTTTATTTGGGGGGAAGAAGGGGTCCCAGGTCAGGGGTACAGCCAGGGGAGGGATGTGCCTGGGACTTTTGAAGGTGAGAGGTCAGAGGTCAGATGCCCACACATTCACCACCAGCCAGTGTTGGGAAGGGTAGTAGACAAGGGGTGCTGGGAGCTTGATTAGGCCGGCCAGCCCTCTGTGGGGGTATTTCCCCACCCCAAAGGGCCTCAAGGACTTGAACTGAGCCACTAGGGGGCGCTCATGGGATATCAAATAGTATCAGGACATTGGGCAGTATCGGGGCTATGAGAAGGAACCAGGGAGTATTGGGGGCACCGGGGCTTTCTTGCTCAGCCTGGCCCTCACCCCCACTGTTCCCCCTACAGCGGCGACGGCTGGAGACCTATGTGCGGGTGCTGGAGGCACGACTGGCAGGGGGTGAGGTGGGGCCCGGGGGCTGGGGGGGGCGGTTGGAGCCCCCCCCACCCCCTGCCGTGCTGCCTCGGGCCCAGTCCAGCCCTTCGCTCGCCCGCCCCACCCCTGCCTCCGCCAAGGTCAAGCGCAACGTGTCCGAACGCCGCACCATGCGCCGGGTCATCGTCCCCCGGCGCCCCCGTCCCCCGCTCTGACCCTCCCCCGGACCCTCAGGGACTCCCCAGAACTCCCTGGGACTCCCCATGACCCTCAGGGATCCCCCAAGACCCACTGGGACACTGCAGGACCCTCCAGACCCCTCTGGGACCCCAGGATCCACTGGGACACCACAGGAACCCTTGAGACCCCCAGGGACTCCCCACAGAGCCCCCTGGGGCCAACTGGATGCCCCCAGAACCCACTGGGATATCCCAGACCCCCAGGGACCATTTAGGACCCTTTGGGAGATCCTCCATAGACCTCCTGGGGCCCCCAGGGCCTGTGCCACCAAGACCCTCAGGGACACCACCCCCCCAGAACCTCTGGGAACATCACCCAGAGACCCCCCCAGGATGTCTTGAGACCAACCAGGACCCCCTGGGACCCCTCAGACTCGCAGAAACCCCCGCTGAGCCTCCCAGGAGCTCACAGGACCCACTAGAACCCCGCAGGACCCTCCCAGAACTCACTGGAACCAAACAGGGACCCTCCCAGATCCCCCTGATATCCCCCAGACCCTCAGGGATCCCCCAGGACCTCTGCACAACCCCCCTAAATCCCCAGGGACTCCCAGAACCTTCTTGGACATCCCAGAGACCCCTGCCCCCGCCCCCCCGAGCCTCCTGGGACCTCACAGACCCCCAAAGACCCCCAGGACCTTTTGGGATCAATTAGGACTTCCAGAGACCCCCCTGGACTCCCTAGGACTCTCTGGGTCTCACTCTTAGACCTTCAGAGACCCTCACAGGACCCCCTCAAAGAACCTCCTGGGACCTCCCAGGGACTCCACCAGCTCCCCCTAGAACACCCGGGGCCCCCCCAGATCCCTCTCATAGAGCTTCCAGAACCCCCATGACCTCCCAGAGACCCCAGGAACGCCCCCCGCAAACCTCCTGGGACCAACTGGGGCCCCCGGGATCCCACAGAGACACCCCCCTCCCCCAGCCATGGTACGAGACAGGACTGCACTAACAGCCTCGGGCCACCAGGGGCATCCAGCTTTGCTCCACACCCTGTTGCCCAGGCTGCAAACTCAGATTCTCCCAACAGGGGGCACTGGGCATTGCACCCAGCCCTGGGGTGCCCCCCGGCCCCTCCCCTTTGGCTTCCTGACCTCAGAGACTATTGCAGGGGGTGGGGGGGGGTCAACCCCAGGGGGGACGACCCCCTCCCCACCCCCATCCCCAGTGCAATAAACCAGTGCGATAGATGGATCTGTGCCCAGGCTGCTGCGGGGTGGGGGGAGCAACCTGCAGCTCCCTGATCTGACCCAGGATCTGGCCCTGTACTGGGTGGTGGGGGAGGAGCAGGGGGCAGTTCAGATCCTGGTGCCTGCTGAGGTATCCCAGTTGGGGCTGAGGATGCCAGGGTTCCCTGAAAGGTGAGGTGAAACCAAGTGGGCTCCCATGGGCACCCCACACCCCCAACTCATCCCCTCCCTGGACTGCATTGCCCCTCTGGATCTGGGCAGAGAACCCAGACACGCAGGACGCAACCCCCCTCGCCCTGTGCCTCCAGAGCCACTAAAGCCATACCTTTCCCCACCTCCCCAAGCCCCTCCTCCTATTTCATCCAAACCCTTCCCTCCAAGCCCCACCCCCAGCACAGGCAGCACAGGCAGGATGAAGGGAAAAAGCCTTTATTCAGCATCCCATATGCTTGGGGGCAGGGCCAGCCAAGCCCCGCCCTGGGACAGAAGGGGGCGGGGCTCCAGCATGGGGTTGGGATGGGCAGGACACATGGGTTCTCATCCTCTGTGCCTCAGTTTCCCCTGCTCACCCCGCCACCGCAAGGAGAGAACTCAGGCGTCTGGGCTCCCAGCCCTGACGCCCCCAGTCTTCTGGGCCCCCCAGCAGTGCAGCTCCAAGTGCTACAGCTGGTCATAAGCAGTGGCAGGCGGGGGTGCAGGGGCGCGGGCAGCCGAGCTGTAGTAGTACGGGGAGCCTGGGAGGGCGGGGGGCCGTTAGGGGAGGGGCAGGGATTTGTACCCCCCCAATTGCCCCAAGGAACCCAGGTGTCCGGGTGCCCCGTCTCTGAGGGTGCAGGATGCCTGAGTTCCCTCCGTGGCAGATCGGGGGAAACTGAGGCATTGGGCCAGAGGGCGAGGGTGAGAACGCAGGCATCCAGGTTCCCAGCTCTCACTCCCCCACCCCGCTCCCGCCACCCCAGAGCTGGGAGGGAATCCAGGTGGGTCCGGGGCACTCACCAAGTAGGCCAGGCCCAGGGAAGCGCCAGGCCTCACTGTAGCTGTAGGGCGGGTGGCTGTAGGCACCAGCGGGGTACTCACTGCCTAAGGGGTGGGGCATGGACCTCAGGGCAAAGGGTAGGGCTGCGCACCCCACCCCTGCAGGGGGCAAAGAACCCAGGTGTCCTGGCTCCTCCCCCCTCCCCCCCTGCAAAGGGCCACTAGCCCCAGAGAGAACGCAGGTGTCCAGGTTTCCTAGCCCCCACCATGACTCCGCTCCCCACCCAGGGGTGAGCCAGAAACCCAGGTATCCGGGGCCCCCCAGCCCTGCCCCACGGCCCCCTCAGCTGGGAACCCTGGGCTGGGCCCTACCTGCCACCATGGCGGCGATGGCGGGGGCCAAGCTGCCCTGGCCGCTGCTGGGCATAGGGGGTGGGTACCCGGGCAGGGTGGGGCCCCCCAGCTCACGCCCTGCGGGGGGACAGGGGTAAGATGGGGCAGGGGGCACCCCCAAAAGCCCCCAAACCTCGCTGAACCCACCAGCCTGGCAGAGGGAAGCACCCATCTGGGACCTCCCTGCCTGGGAACAGCCCCCACAGCAAGAATCTATCCTAACAAGTAGGCAGGGATCCACCTGCCTGGGGATCCAGTTGCTTGGCATCCACCTGCCCAGGGCTTCCCACAACCAGGGATCCACCCACCTGAGGATCCAGTGGTTTCTGCCCAGAGATCTACCCAGCCAGGACTCCCACACACAACCAGGAATCCATCCATCTGGGGATCCAGTGGCTTGGAATTCACCCACCCAGGATCCATCCACCCAGGGATCCGATTGCTTGGGATGCATCTAAACAAGGAACCCCCTCTCCCACAACCAGGGAACCACCCACTCATGGACCCATTCACTTGGGATCCACCCACCTACCCAGGTAACACCCCCCCAAGCCAGGATCCACCCACCCAGGAATCTAATGACTTGGGATCCACTTGTCCAATGACCCCACCCCCACAACCAAGGATCCCCCACAAGTAAGGGCACACCCACCCAGGATCCACCCACCCAGGGAATCTACCCACCAGGGGGATCCATGCATTGGGGATCCACCAACTCAGAGACACACCCACCTAGAGATTCTCCCCTCCTGGAGACCCATCCCCCCAGGGATCCACCCATTTATGGATCCCCCCTACCACCAGGGATCCACTCACCCAGGGCCCTTCCCTGGGGATGG